ATATTGAAATTGTAAGGCTTAGATATTCATTCTACGGGCCCAAACAATGACCCGTAAAAATTTCTACAACCCGTAAATGGGTCGTAAATTAAATATGAAATCTTTTTTGGTGCATCCATTTTTTTTTAAAAAAAATAAAGCTTTAACATCTATTATAAAATTTATGGCTACATTAATATTTCAACCTTCTCGTTCTCAAAAATAATTTTACGCTTACAAACTTCAAGAAAACACCACAGTTAGGGTACAAGGTTTCCAAGCAAGTTTTTCTTCAAGAACCTTGTTCTTTCAGATATGTAAGACTATTCATGTTGATGAACTGAATTTGTCCTCACGCCCTACATCTACTTCCTATTAGTAAAGAATAATCTAAAATTACATCCTAAATTTTGATCATTCTTGAGATGAGTTTCATTATTGAGTTATGAATTCTTTGTCTTGATTATTGATTTGTTATATACTGCATTGAGATTTTTGAGATAACTGTTCACGCCTATTTTTAGCATGAACCCTATTGTTAAGGTATTATTGTGTTAATGCTGAGTTAGTATGGAGAATCCTTTTAAGTAAATATTTTCATCCTAAACTAATTTTTTGAGAAATAAAAGATGAGTTTTAAGAAATAGTATTAAATACAGTTTGAGTAAAAGTATAAGGGAACTATGTATTCCCAAAATATATCACTTTCCACATTGAGAAAAGAGAATTTTTAATTTTTAAGTGAATTAATGAGTTCGGAGATATTTCGGAGTAGTTGACACTTTTAATAGGATATTTTGAGAAATTACCTTAAATTGAGAAAGAGCGTGTTTTATACATTTGAGCATGAGTATATATTTGTTGGGAGTAGTATTGAGCACTAATATAAGATGATTTTTGACAACTCACATTCCTCATAAATCATAACGTGGTAAAAAATCACACTTTTTAGACAACTCCTTATTTCTTTTGACCAGAGCTTTAATGGATTCACTTTGTTGAGATGTTCTATATATTGGCAAGATATATGACAGTTCTCCAGTGTTATGAGATGTTGTATCATCACGTTGTTCATAGTGATGGTTGTCGATTAGAGAATCTCTCAATTAGAGTCAATTGTGTATTTTTATTCACTTAATACGTTTAGTTCAGAGATGACTAAGTATTTGTATAGTTTAAATGATCTCACTCCTTTATTTCTTTACATTCCATTGAGTATATATTTATATATACTACAGTCCTTTCATTCAGTCATTTCTATTAAGGTATATTACATACCCATTCATTTAAAATATTGATGTCATTCGACCTGATATTTTTATAATGCAAATATAGGTGTTCACGATAATCAACAAATGCTTCGTTCATATCACTTTACATGATCACTTCTCATTTTGGTGTTTTGTTGAATCCTCTTTACAGTATGAAGGGCCCCATTTTCATTTCAGCATTAACGTTGGGCAGGCTTCATAGATAACTATAGTTGAACTATTTTTAAAATTTTCATAGTTAAAGTGCATTGTAAGTATGATGTTTTTCTTAAATGAGTATTTGAGCTAGTTGAGTTACATTTTTCTCTTTAGAGCTTTTAATTTTCATGTCAAATATTTTTCTAAGTAGTCATGTAACATCTCAAAATGCAAAATAGCTAGGAATAAGCTAAGAACTACAAATAATAAAGTTTGGAAATGATTAAAATTCTAGAAATTTGCTTAAGTTAGAAAGATTGAGTTTTTGATCAATTTCATATGGCCATAACTTCTAGAGAAGGATGAGTTAGGAGCACTTCCAGACATGGTTGGAAAGATCTTCGAATGATCTGTCAAACACCGCTAGGTTTGCACGATTCCGAGTTCGTATGAGTATGTTATGCCATTTGGAAGTTGGGATGTTAGGTTAAGAAAAAGTCTAAATCAAGATTTTATATGGGTAATTTATTCTTTTTCTTACCTTATTATTTTAATTCGTTTTTAGGATTTTAATTGGGATAAAGTCAGACCTTAGTCAGTTTTAGAAAATTTAAATTCATGCTAGGTCTTGGAGAAAGGAAAAAGTATAATGGAGGAGAAGAACGTTCAAGATTCATCGAGATTAACTTGCGGATATCGTTAGGGCTGATCCCTACAAAGGTATGTGACATCATATAGTATTGGGTTATTTCACCTATCCACCAATCATAATTCAATTTTAGTGAAGTTATTAGATATAAAATTAAATCCTTGAATTCTTGATAAATTTCATTTGAATTCTTGTGGGTTGTGTTGATTAGAGTTTCTTGAGATTGATTCACATTTTTAGTTGAGTTTTTGAGAAGAATCTGATGTACAACAGTCATATTTTTTATTCTAAATATTGGAGAAAAGAACCAATGGAGTTTAGAGAGTTTAAAGATGAAAAACGAACAAGAAATTTGTCGGACAAATCTGGGAATTGGTGGCATGTCGTGGAGCTAATTCCCAACTTTGTGAAATTTTGTTTCGCTTCACGGAGCCATCACGGAGAATTCTGCCTCAAAATTCATTTCTGAAACTAAATTTTTAAATGACCTCCGCATCGCGGAGCAGTTCCCCATATTTGATTTTTGATCATTTTCTCATGTTTAGCTACCTAAAATCAATCCTAAACATCATTAGATCTTTGTAATCATAAATCACAATCCTTGAATCAATGATTCAATTCAAGGACCAGTTAAGAGTCAAGCCAAGAAGTCAAGATAAGTTCTTAAAGTTTTCAAAAAGTCTTTCACAAACATTTAACTTTGTTTAAAGACTTAAGTTTTAGAGTTAAGTAAATAGTTCAGATTTGAAGTTCATTTATTCAAAGAAGTATACGAGAACTAAATATTCCCAAGAGATTTGAAATGTTTTCACAATTAAATAAGAACATAAACTGAGATTTTCGAAGAGCCTTACAGCTAGTTTTAAAAAAAGAGTATATGCTTTTGTAATAAATCAAGAGGGGAAATTGATTTCCAAGTTAAGTGAACTCACAACCCCCATAAACTATGTCACTACCATTGGTAGAAAAGGGTCATACTTTTTAGATGATTACTTTAGTGCATTTTAGCATAGACTAGTGGATTCACTTAGTAGTTCAGGTTCTACACTTATGGTAAGGTATAATATGGACTTGGCAGTAAAAGGCAAAATGTTGTATCATCACAATAGCACTTACGTGATGGTTGTCGGTTAGAGAAATTCCCACAAAAGTTAGTTTTATTTTTTATACACATTTTAATTGTATTTTTACATACATATCAGAGTTATATGTATATTTGCATACATACTTTAAAAATTTCGGCTACATTTTAAAAGCGTTTCCAAAACTACTTTAGACAATACTTTACAAGCATAGTTCAGAATTAGTGTGGCTGTAGACCTAAAATGGTGTAGTGGATGAACTATTGTGTGTGTTTTCTTAGTTATGGCACTGCATACTCATCTTTGAAAAGAATCACATAGTTCTTATAATTTTTTGTATGATAGTAAGCCAAGCTAAGTATTTCCTTTAAGACCAACAATAAAACTAAGTGTCTGACATGTTGTGTGTAGATTCAAGTCGTGACATATATGAGGCATTGCCTTTGCCAAAACTGTGGATATATGGGGTAAAAATAAATATTGCGTCAAAAGATATGAATGTGGAGCATATTATTATAAAATATGAAATGACAAATGTGAACCTAGATATGGATAAGCGGAAGGTCGGTATAGTTATGTTTGTCCCCCTCTATTTGTTTTTATTTATTGGGCAAATATATAAGGGAATGGAGGAAAACAAAAGGTAATAGTGACTAGTCTCAAAATCATGATCATGAATACAGCTGAATCAAACAATTTGTAAAGTAATGGTAATGCATGTTCCAAGCCCCATACCGCACCACCGCCAATACTCTACCAAATCTTACTTTACAGCAATTTTTATTTTATTTTATTTTCAGAGTTAGTTTAACATAAATAAGATAGCTCTCGAAAATACACCTTCCACCACAATATGTTGTATTCACATGTTTTCAGTTTATATATATTCCTGTATACTCAACTTACTTTTGTTCAACTATTCTTTATAATACGCCCAATTTCATACTTAATAATAATATTAATCTTATGTAAAAGTGTATAGTAAGATTTTGTTGGTAGAATGTATAAAAATAATGTTAAATAGAGTATGTTACTAATGTTTTTATTAGTAATGCTTGTAATATTTATGCTTGCACTAGTTGTACATAGATATATTTGTGCATTGTTTACTTTGGTGTATTAAAAATAACATGCATGGTATAAAATTCAATACACATTCTAATAAACAATGGAGTGTGTATATAGATTGGAAAAGAGTATCAAACAAGGTGTTAGTGATACACAAAGATAATACATGCATTATTTTTCCTAATACACACTATCCAAGGACTTGTGTGCATAAATAATTTATACACACTTTTACATTGTTACACATCACATGTGAATTAGAGGATTTCTCATAGTTGGTGTTAGAACATTTTTATGATAAAGAATTTATAATTTGATTAACAAAGTGACTTCGCTCTCTAGTAATATATCGTTCCCTAAATTCGTACATGAGTAATACAAAATTATAAGAAAATTACCTACGAAGCAATATGAGTCAAGTATCATCAAAGTGCTCAAATCTTCATTGAATAGCTTCAAATTTCATAACTTCAAGATGACACCCCACCGAATCTCAGTGGTCAGTACATTATCAAAAATTCAACAAATAGAAAAATTCATCTGTAAATTTTCAAGCTTTTAAAAAATTATGTATATGTATGTATAGAGAGGGATGCTCATTCCAATTTTCACTTTCATTGTTGCAAACGCAAGTTCAAATAGTAAGTTTATTTTAACTTCAATCCATTATAATAATTTATTTTTTTAAAAAAAGGAGGAGAAATGCTAGAAGCTTCCATGTTTAAAATGGGATATGCCTAATCCCAACCAAGCAAATGATATTATGTCTCAAACGAGTAATGGAGGGACACTTTTTGTCGAAAACGTTTGCCTATAAAACGAGGGAGTGACTACATATATACATACACGAATACAAGTGAAAGAAGAATCCAATACATAATAACTCAACTCTTTCACAAATTAAGTTGAAAAAAAGAAAAGAAAAGAAAAGGTGAATAGTACAAGTTTAATTATTAAAAAACATCGATCATGACAATTGATTCTTTTCATGTGTTGATAAACAATTAGTTTGTTTCAGATCATGAGTTTGGATGCTGTGGACTACAAGGGGTTCCCTGCTGATAAATCTAAAACTGGTGGTTGGGTACCTGCTACTCTTATCTTAGGTTTGTATTAGCTTCGTAAAGCTAATTAAATTAAGTAGGTTTCACCATCTCAATGTATATATATTTTGTTTTTGTTGTAACTTGCAGGGATTGAAATAGTTGAAAGGCTTTCAACGATGGGAATAGCAGTAAATCTGGTGACATACTTAGGTGGTACCATGCATTTGGCTAGTTCAAACTCAGCCAATATTGTAACAGATTTCATGGGCACCTCCTTTCTCCTCTGCCTGCTTGGAGGCTTTCTTGCTGACTCTTTTCTCGGCAGATACAAAACTATTGCACTATTTGCTCTTATACAGACACTGGTAATAATTTATATTCAAACAATTTATACATACATATATATATATATATATATATATATATATATATATATATATAG